GTCACGCTGCACATGGACGAGCCAAATGTGAGCGCTCAAGTCGCGATTAAAACAAGTAGGTAAAAACTGAAGCAGATAAACAAACAGAGTCAAATGGTAGGATTGATGTGTAAATATACAACGGAAGTGGAACGTCAAATGTCTATATATGTATGAGGCGGATGGTGTTTGGTGAATGGAACGTAAAATTCACGAAATGTGGAACCGAGATGGAATGACGGGCTTAACATGAAGGNTGAAGGATTTTCACAGATCGATCGATACAGCCATAGCAGTCTGTTTCTAGGAACGACTCAGAAAGCTAGGGATTCAGGAATCATAATGACTGCAGACCACAAATGGGCGAAACAGCGTGCCGCAGCGGTGCATCGTGCCCGCACAGATCTCTTTAGATTGAGGTTGGCATCATCATGTAGGCAACCGGAGGTATTCGTACCCTTGTATAAAGCCGTTGTTCGACCGCATTTAGAGTATTTGATACAAGCCTGGGCTCCCTTCTTCAAAAAGGACGCCACTTGTCTCGATAGGGTTCAAAGATTAGCCACAAGGATGATCGAAGGACAACGAGGGAAGTCTTATAAGCAGTGACTGCAGGGTCTTGAGCTATTCTCCTTAGAAAGAAGAAGACTCCAAGGTGACTTCATTGAGACATTCAAAATTATGAATGGCCTGTCAGGGACGGATCAAGCGGTGTTCTTCGAGAGAATGTAAAGCAATACTAGGGGTCATATGTACAAGCTGAAGAAATTGCGCACGAGACTAGCGGTGTGTTCGAAATTCTTCAGCAACAGGGTAGTCAACGTGTGGAATAAGTTGCCACAGGAGCTGGTAGAGCTAGGGAGCGTATATGCTTTCAAGAAGGAGCTCGATAAGCGCTGGTTGACTTTTTTCCGAAAAAGACGCATAGGTTGAGGCTTGAAAACAGGGGTGGGTTTTTCGTTTACTAACCACCTCCATCCGGGGAACGCTTCCAAATGTGAGGTCTCTCACCTGAACAAGTGGAGAGGATATTTTTTCTTTTCTCTTCCCTTGCAGAGACGGAGACAACTGAGACGTGAAGAAAACGTGCAGAACTGCAATATAGAACACTCGCAGTGGTAGGAACCGCAACGTGGTTTACTACCGGAGGAAATCGGGACGCTCGATTGGTCGTAGCCATCTCTTGTCCTGTGCAAACTTACGGACTGCCTGACTGGCTGAACTGTCCTGTCCTGTCCCTTTCAGCATATTCCAGAGGAGTCAACGTTATGGAAACGGAGCTAAATTGAGAGGATCACAAATACGAACCCAACTGTAAGCAGTGTTGAAAGCTATACATCGAACTGGACGCTCGATTGGCAAGAGCCATATTCGTCCTGTGCAAACTGAACTGAACATTCCAAAATTGGCCTGGCGCGCACTTCGAAAAATGTTGTTGCCGTTCTGCTCCTGTCTTAAATGGCAAATATCTCCGTTGTTAGGGCTCGTTCCGTTGGTTTTTTGCCGCGGGGACCCCTCCCACCAAAATGACAGATACGTGTACGGAATACTCATAAGTAATATCAAAATGCCCGTATGGGCTATAATTCAGAACACTGATTTATAATATATTTTTTATGTCAATCATGAGTATAAGGAGGAATCTAGCGAATGTTCAACAGGGATACACTTGTCTAATATGTTGCAGGAACTTAAGTCTAATTATGGAATATCCGAATTGAAAATTCAAACCACATACGGTACTGTACTTCATCCAGATGATCTCAGCATGTCACCGACAGATCCTGTTGCATTCTTCAGTCTTCTTTTTATGCAGCTCCAGAATTCACACGTTATTTGTGTGCACTCCCGTCACAGGATTGATGAAGCCGTCCGAGTGGTTACCGCACATTTGAATATATCCCGCGGGACGTAATGAAGGGTACGCTCCCCACTGGTATATGCACCGTGATTCCAGACGTCACCCAACGCTGCAGCATAGACAGACTGTGGACGCTGATCGATCTTCTTTAAGTTTCAATCATACAATGTCAGAAATGAAAGCAAAATGACCGGATATTACCCTACTGAGGCACCTCGGTAGGATTACGTAACAGAAATGACTAAATAAGAACTATTATTTAAAAATGGAAAACCATTTAGCATACCGGTTACAATGAAAAAACATTTGAAAGTGACCAAAATTAGGGAGGTCCAAGTTAGTATCGTCATAAGCCTCGGGAGGGGTCCCCACGGGTGACGTGCGCCGTTGTTTTTGTTCAACATCGAAATTAGCTATCCTTTATAATAAAGCTCGAGGTCCTCCATCGCAAATGAAACCTATTTCCAAACCCGAAATGCTAAACCTCGAAACTGAACTTTTACTTAGACGATCGTATTCAATGATACTTAATGGTGAATATTGTAATAAAATAGTTTATTTCATTGTTTTTGTCTTTTAAGTTATTCTACGTAATCTTAAAAGCGTATTTTACTTCACAAAATACAGTCGTTATTGGAAGTTTATATTTATATTTCTGAACATAAAATTCTTTACTCTAATACTTTTCCCCGTTGCACTTGGACTATTCTGCTGCAAAATGATAAGAATAAACAACGTAATCTAATTTTTTTTCCAGGTAGAACAGATCCGCACTTCCCTGGGGGAATGTTTGCTGCGGATCCCTTATCGCTTTCTCTGCTGCAGATAGAATCCCTCATATATTCCTCCGGCAAAAAGACTCACAGAGGAAATTTCAATGAAGCTAATCAGGTAATTTTTATAATTTACCACATGGGTAGCCTACCCTTTCCGCTAATTCTTGAGGTCCATGAGCCGGTAGTTTTCTACTCCACCCCCGAGGTGAGGGTTTTGCATGTTTTTTTAACATGCTCATTGAAAGAGAACTAGACTTCTGGGCTCATGACATTGGGGGTGGTTATGTGAATTCGCTCTTGTGATCACGACTGTCTTTATATTATTTTTCTACCTCGTTAATGATAATAAGGGAAGATACACAGGTTTCTCATTCTTGTATAAAAATCCACCGGAAAATACATCAATTATTCATGAGTTAAATTTGTATCAATAGTTCACCCTTCCTGGCCCTTGAACACATTCTATTCCTACCGGTCTAGAAGTAAGACTGGTAGTTATATCGCTTCAGTCAAGAAGCGCTTTCTCAAAAGCCTCTATGTTTAAGACGAATCATCATCAGTTGCAACAACGCGTTATACAAGATGCGATGAAAGTAAAAGTTGTTTTTCTGAGTTTCTGTGGCTTTTCGCTGATGTTCTTCTTCAACTATGAGGGAGATGGTCCAGATAACCACAACTGAACACGAGCAATCGAAAATTGACACTGCCAATAACGTATATTCTTTTGTGATGAGTTTCGTTGACGCCTGTATGTGTCAAGTGGGGCTCTTTGAAAACCTGGCGTAAGATTAATCAAAACGCAGGTCTGTGATAATCCATTGAAATACCTCAGAATATTTTCTCTGTGGTCAAGATTGAGATTTGTAGATGAAATGCTGGTTGAACCCTCTCGACAGTGCTTAACCAAAACATTGTTTGCAAGAACTCGAGGAGGTTGAATTAGAAATGTCAGTCTTTGCAACTATTATCTGGTTCTGAGTCTAAACCAAGTCGATTCGGCTGTAAAGTTTTTTTATTACACTAATACGGTAAAAACCACTATTACANATTACAAGGAATTGCTGTTCGTAGAAGAGTAGAGGGAACAAGCTAGAACCAGCGTCTTGATTCGGCTTTTTCAGCCGATGATGTTTTAAATTTCAGGAAGACCGAAAAGGGGAGAGTTCCACAGTTCGGTTTTTGGAAAAAGACTATTGTAAGTTGGAAATGCAACACTTGGTGATAGCCTCTTGAAGCGGGTGATTAGCCGATTGTGTACGGGGAACGAGTAGTGGGACAGGGACGAAAGAGGTGGAACAGAAATAAAAGNAGCATAATCTATAGGATAAAGATAAGAAAGTAGCAGCTCAGCACATGGGACTTGAAGTGCTAAACGATATCGTGGGCGTGATATCAATAAAGAAGACAGTAAAGCTGCCCTAGTGAACCCAACTTCAAGTCTAAATGGTTGCTTAGAAGACAGTTGCCAAACTTTAATTCCTTGGTGCCTTTCTACGATCCTTATCACTTCGCCAGCTTTTATTATCTCTTCAAATATAAAATCTTGTTTTTCTTCAGCTCGTCGAAGCTAACAAGAAAGATGCTGAACCACATTTCATCCGTTGTTTATTTTCGGCCGTTGATTTTTCACCGTATGAACCAAAGACTGGTCAGAAGGATATCCACCAGGTAGGCCAATTACAGCATTGCTTGACACAACATATCAGGCTCAACACCTTAGCCAGGAATTCAACGCAGTTTTGTCTAAACCAAACTTCCCATCGTTGCTCTGCTATGCCGTTGACAAACCACTTCCATCATCAAAGGNAAACCACTTCCATCATCAAAGGTAAGTTTTGAGTTTTACTACTACTATCATCCTCTTTTTGCTTGTATGATGCCCATGATAGCGATATTTTCATTGCTTTTTAAGATATGCATTTCCTAAATGATAATGGTTAAGTAGTCGCTGGTATACTATGGGTTTCGCGGTTATATTCATGTATTCAAACATGTCTGAATTCAGACTGTGTGCGGCCTCGCGGTTAGAGATTCGAGCCCTGCCATTACTATCCAGCTTTAGTGAGCAGCCTATTTTCTCCCGACTCAATACTTTGTTGACCTTTTTGGTACCTTCTATAAATCACTACTCTACTTTGCCGGTTTCCCGAGGGGAACAGTTGGTTTTCTTGACCGGAGTTCATTCCTTCCACTGTTCACCACAGCGGGNATTTCCTTTTAGTCGGGGGTCAAAAGTCCAAGGTACCCAACCAAGCAGCTGACCACTGCCATAAATAGGAAGGTGTTCTTTTTGTGTAGTTCGTATTCCACTTTTTGGTTAGTTTGTAATCAGTTTATTGACCGATTCCCCAGGTAACCGTCAGTGGTTCATTGTCGCGTTTACAGCTCCAGATGTTCGCTTTCCGTCTTTTTACTTTGGCANAGTAAGTAGGGCTTCCTCAGCAGAAGCTATTTGAGACGCTTTGTCGTATAAGAGCATGTCACGAGGTAGAATGAAAGGGCGAGTAGTCACAATCCACGACATCTACCCCCGACCATAGTGAGGCTGTCGGAGGTATCACAAGGTAAACACCCCGTTAAAAGCTAACGAGGATGTTAGAGAAGAACCTCTTATTCAATAAGTCATACCATTACCACTAACAATAATAAAATTTGTAGTCCCATTGTTTTTATCGTAATTCATGCTAAAGTTGTGCAGGAGACCAAAAGTAAAATTTAACAATCTGCAGAGTGCTAATGAAAATCATAAACTGTCCTTTTAGTTCCTTTTGCCTCGTGTGTATGATAGAACAACCCCTTCCTTGTTTGTGTGATGGTTTGTGTAGGTCTGATCACTGGTTGTTTGTATTCGTTATACACACCTGTCCAATGGTATAGACAGCTTGATTGCTAATATTTCATCACTTTCCGAGATGATTTCATTTCTTTACGCGATTGTACTCAACAGTAGAAGTGGTAAACCTCATCATCCCTGGAACAGATTGTTCTCCCATGGTATTCAGAATGATAAATCCTGGAGCTTGGACTGGTGAATCATCTAAAGTCCCACTAGGATATGCTTGTTCACCGGTCTACAGACGGACTACGTATATACCTTCTACAAATAAATGTACTACCTAGTTCACTGTGTGGTTATTTGCCTACTCAAGCGGAACACATCAGAGGTGGTATTGAGCCGGACGGCAGCGGCGCTGCCCTGAACTAAAAAAGATTGGTGATAAAGTTCGAACTTACTACCGTAGGACCCAAAGTTCGCCACTGAACGATTCAATCCGGCTAACCACCACGTACATTTTTCATGTGAAAGTTGAATCCACGACAGAGCATTGCAAACAGGTCGTCCATCTGTGCGAGCAAGCAAAATTGTTGCTTGTCAAAACGAGCCATGAAATCCGGTTCATTTTGCTGGTGCATTCATATGTTTTTATGAACATCCATGCAGTTTCGATATCATCCCCATCATTCTTTCTCCTCCCAGGGCTTTGGTCCATCCCGCCAACTTCTGCCACAGATCGCTCGTCTGCTGAAACTCAATCGAGTGCAAGAGGTGGTATTGGGTTTGGCGCTTACCCAGTCCAGTAATGCTCAGTTAGTCTACTACGCACAACAATGGATACGTCAGAAACTACCGGAGTTGGTTCGAACGCATCTGGCTGAAATAGGTAACTTTTTTTTTATCTAGTTTCAGTTCATCATCTGTAAATTAGCTGTACGAAACAGACTTTGTACTAGATGATCTTCCTACAATAGTGGTATCATGCTAACGGCGTGTTTTAGTTTTTTTTTTGGGGGGGGATTCGTTCATCAATGTTTCCGCACACTGCATGATAGCTTATATCCCTGACGCATGTAGTGAAATTTAAATCCAAAATGTTGCCCATTGAATGTGTTGACCACTTAATCTGTTTCAGTTTTCCTAAACAAATACGTCTACGTCATTTGTCACGGTCAGTATTAAAAATAAATCGCCCTGTATCCCCACCACCACCAGAATAGTCATTTTTTCTCTTGTTTTTTCTTTTTCTTCTGCTTCGGTGCGCTAAACAACAACATTTCAATTTTCAGTGTCTGCTTGTTTTTACTACTCCACAGTATACCATTCAAATATGTTCAATAACCGGGGAAGAAGGCTTATGCTCAACCACTATTAAGAGAATGCCACGAAATGATCTGATTAAATTATTACCACTCGCATATTGCCTGATTCACGGAGCTAAGTAGACAAAAATGAGCAACCTCGTCTAGAGAGTACAGTTGGATTGCTTAGTTCCCAAGGTAATTAATTGGGCTTGGCTTATAGTGTGCGATCTATTGAGGGTCAGATTTTAATTGGTGGTTTTCTTGGCCTTTCAAACGGGTTTATCTTCTGAAACGCGGATTCAGACTTACGGTCTTCGCTCCTAAGCAATGTAAAGCCCATTTTCACGCATATTAGAAAAGACTGAGAGCAAGATTTTTTTGTACCCTTCAATCACCTATTTGCTCATCAATCTTTCCGCACCGAGCCTTCTCACTTGAGCAAATAATCCATTGCCATCTAAACGACATAGACAGGACTTCTTAAGAAATTCTTTACAAGACCTTCCGAGAGACGATTGCATTAGGTCAGACCGGATTTTTCGAATGATGAAGAAATGTTTCACTTCAGTTTTTACAATCATTAGCCATGCATTTTCGTGCACCGATTTTAGTTACTCTCAGGACTGCCAATTTGGACGAAGGAGTAAAGGGAAGATTGGAATATTTAAATCAGTATCAATGTGAAAATAGAGAGTTTATGAAGACTAAGATTGCAAGAATAATAAGAAGATGCACGAGACTCAACCATTTCGCTCAGTGTCCTTGAACATTAATTACACTAATCCCGATGTCCCCATTCAGGGAGCCTAATGTGACCTATTTTTCAGTTATCAGTTTGAACAACCATTAACCACGCATATTCGAACGCCGGTTTTGGTTGCTGTCTTTTGGCTTCCCGTTTGGATGAAGAATAGGAGAAGAAAGGAAAGTTGAAAGTGGAGTCGAAAATAAGATGGAAAAGTTCAGTGGTCTAAGGTTGCAAAGAAATTGAGGAGATGCACGAACGTCACTGTTTACGACACCCAACCATATCGCTCAGTGTCTCTAACCATCGGTTACGATCATTCCGGGGTCCCCAGCCAGGGAGCCTAACAGGACCTATGTGACCCGGTTTCCTGGTTAGGGTTTTCACACCCTCGTGCCAGGTTTTAGCTTGACCACCCTTGGCTTTTATCCACTCGGTATCTACCTCGGCGAACATTGCTCGCCGTGGTAACCTACCTGGTGACATGCGTAACACGTGCCCCAGCCAACGTAGTCTATGGAGGTCGACCACTTGCTCCAGTGGGCGACCGTATTTACCCAAAACTCTGCCCCTGACCTCAGCATTGGTCATCCGGCTACCCCACCAGATTCGTGCAATGCTGCGTAGACAGCGGTGTTCAAACCCCAACAGTCTGTCTTTATCTTATTTTCTTAATGGCCAAGTTCCTGCACCGTATAACAGGACTGGCCGAACTGCCGCGGCATACACTCGACCCTTTACAGATAGCTGGATGTCGCAATGGCACCACAGATTTCTTAAATTACCAAACACCAATCGAGCCATTTTTCACTCTTCCTTGTACCTTTTCCTTTCTAAGTCGCGTTAAGTGAAGTTCGCTTCGCTTCACTTTTATGCAACTAGATACCTAGTCAACTTCTTGAATTTTACGGATCGCTACTGTTCATGCCTGTCGGTTTGCAGCAAGGTCCGTGTTAATTAACACATTTCGTATTTCATTCCCTTAGGCCATTTACATTTCGAACACCCAATTGCTTAACATCATCCTCAAGCGCGCTAACTCAACTCTTAAGTTTTTAACTCAGGTGACAGTTTCAACTTGGATGTGTTGTTGGCACGAGGCATAACCCGAAAATAATGTTCACAGATTGTCGAAGAAAATGCTCCAACCATTACAGGCGGCGGTGCAGTGGAAAATAAGACAATTCTTAATGTCATCGTATGATCGTCGAACTTCTTCGTTGGAGGCCAGTTCTTGTCATTTCCAGTTCAGGAAGTATTGTAGGCACCCGTTGTTCAAGACTTTCAAGATAGTTTCGCTGCGCAGATGAAAAAACCACTCTGCGTGCGTTATCAATTCGTTATGTGGTTGCCTACTTTGATTGATGTTTTTCAATTACACTATCTACTGGGCAATGTAAAATGCACTAATCAGCTGTCCTGGAATACGGCTCACTTCCGATGTGTGGATTGCGGTTTCAGAATTCACAGACGACATTGCCATCTTCAAGTACACTAACGAAAAGCGGTGTTTAGGGTAGATTCTTCCGACTGGTCACCATAAATGCGGCAGTCCTTCATTGTTCGATGATGATAATCCTTTCCTTTCAGTTTCATCACCGATTTATTGATCTAACGGAATCCTATTTGAATTCTGTTTTCGAAATTGCTTTCTCTTGAATTACTTGTCATGTAACTGTCAACCGATCGAAATCAATGTTCTTGCTATCACTATCGAGGTCAGATAAAAATACTCAACAGTGAAAAACATGTGCCAGTTCGCATGTTTTTATACATTTTTCACTTCTGTGGTCTGTTTCTCATGGAGAAGGGACTAAATTCCGACACTATTCGTTATCAAAACAATGCACCAATGAACAAAACCCACGACAACTGTGTAGAATTTGCACGGTTTGAGATTCTACAGTATATTGGGATACATGATCTAGTGCAGTCATATCGCAGTTACTTGTCAATAGATATCGGCAAAGTTTATCTCTTTGTACGATTATGAGCAGCCGGCAGTGAGGATGCAGAAAGCGCAGTTGACTATCAGCGGTTCGGTTGGGGCGGCAGAGGCGAACAGCAATGTAACCGTAAATAAAACACGTAAATAGGAAAAGACGGAAACAAGACTTGCAGAGAGCGGCGATGAGTGATGCACAGTTCGAACTTTGGAAGGCATGTGTGGATTCATGGGGCAGATGGCACAGGGAAGCTGGTAGCCTCGCTCACAGTCGACCATCGGGATGGCAGTGTGTTTGTGGACGTTAAATAATATCAACAGTATGAACCCGAATCCGCACGTGCCGTCGTTTTCTCTGGTTCGGTGGGAACAAAGCACTGATCGCCAAGTAGACGAATGAACGACGGGAAATGGCATGGCGAATTAAACGTGTGAAAGTAAAAACGATTGAGAAAGATACAACAAATTGATTCGTAAATGTAATAAAGGTAACAATATGTAGAGTAGTAAAACGAACTGGCAATCCTCATCAATAAAATCGTCATTTGCTAGCTGGAGAAAATCGAAAAGTTGTGTTGTTAATGTTTTCCTGTCCAGTTTTATTTTATACTTCAGAGTTACTGGTTTTTCGTCAATCGGATTTCCACTTAAACCCGTTGATTGCGTAAGAAGACAGTTGTGAACAAACTCGTTTTCGGTGCTTCATTAACTGGTCAAGTGCATCACAGTGACAGTTCACAGGAAAAATTGGTGGGAGAGAGGAAAACAGAATGAGAGTGTGGGATAGGGTGGAATGTGAGCTAAAAGTAGCAAACCACAGTTAACTAACCAATGAGTTGATCTTTGTCAGTGATGTTTGCTCAACGGTTTATTACGTAATCGGATCATTGACAAATGCTCATGACAACTTGAGGGCTCTAGTCCTTCCTGAGGTTGGGCGTGTGAGTTGTTCAGTGGGGTCGCGATAGATTTTAGGCAACTTGTGCACTCATGTTGTACCCTATCGTGTCATCATTCTGTTTCCGTTTCTCTACCGTTTTTCTCCTGTGAATGAGTTATCACCACTATGTCGCATTTGGGCAGCTATATTTCACCTGGCGGATGAACTGTTTGCACGCATACAGAAGGCTCGATTGGCATTTGCCAACTTCAGACATTTATGGCGATATCCGGCTATAGGGGAAGGGTTGGGTGTATGCCGCAGCAGTTCGGTCAGTTTTGCTACACGGCACAAAAACTTGGCCATTACGGGTGGTAGCATCACCAAATTATCACCCCGGGGTGTGTTGGAATCCCACCACCACCGCCTGACTTAACCCATTGTGTATTAATTGGTAGCCCTTTGATTGACCGCTTCCCCCTTCCTAAAAATTGCATCTTTGTGTATTCAATAAAAGGAAATCAAATGAAAAAGAAAGAAAGAAAAACAGGATAAAGAAAGATAACCTGCCGGTATTCGAACACTGCTGTCTATGCAGCATTGCACGAATCTTGTAGGGCAACCGGACGAGCAGTGTTGAGGTTAGATGCGGAGTTTTAGGTATTCGCAACCGCCTACTGCACCATGTGGTCGACCTTCGTAGATTACGCTGGTTGGGATGTGTTGCGCATGTCACAATCGGCGCGCGATGTTTACTGAGACAGAGAGATGAAAGAAGTTCAAGGGCAGTCATGGCACGGGGTATAAAAATACTGACCAGGAGACTCGGTCGTATAGGTCGCATTAGGCTCTCTGGATGAGGATATTGAGATCAGTGTAATAATCAATGTTTATAGACCCTGAGCGATGTGGTTGAATGTCGTGAACAGCGGTGCTCGTGATTCTACTCAATATGCTTGCAACCCTAGTCTATTTAAATTCTCTAACCGCCCTCAACCTTCCAATCTTTCTGCTCTTTTATCCAAGTTGGCAGTCATGAGATAGCGACCTAAACCGGT